AAAATGATAGTTGTAAATCCAGTGGAATTTCAAATACGGGGGGTCTTTCAAAGAAAGTCCCTTGCAGAATTATAAAGAAAAAAAAATGCCCCATTATGTGTCCACTTTTGCAAGTTTGGGTTTTATTATGCTCGGTTTCCTTATGAAACTGACGCTCTCCAGAAAGAAGGACTTTTTATTCATTTATGTGTTTGTTCCTTCTATGTGTTGGATGCCCTAGGCTGGCTTAGGCAATGGGAACAGAGTGACAAAGCTCATGAAGTATACAGTTCGCTGAGGGGTACTGAAGAGTAAAGAGACAGTGACAGTGTTGGGCCCAGAGTGAGCAAGGGCGTGAGAGAAGCAAATAAGAGGAAGCTTCTGGTCCAGACTGGGGGCGGTGGTGTGTTTGTGTGTGGGTAGGTGCTGGGGATTTGGGAAAGCTTCCTTGAGGAAGAAATGTCTAAGTTGAGATTTGAAGGTCCATTAGGCAGTAAGCGGTGAAGACAGAAGGAGGGGGCAGACCCAGGGGAGGAGGAGAGGGATTTGGGGCTGGGAAGAAAACTTCCATAAAGTCCCTGCAGCCTGCTGGAGTGGGATCCTCACCTTGGCTGGGCGGGGGGAGGGGAGGTGATAGAAGGGAAGGGCTGAAGGATGAGACAGGGAAGTGGGTGGGGCCAGCTACAGAGGGCCTTCACTGCCATGCTAAGGAGTTTGGCCTGCATTTTGAAGATGGTGGGGGTTTGCAGAGAGGTTTTAAGCAGCAGTGTGACTGGCCATGATTCACAGAGTAGAATACTGCTCTGTGCAGTGTGGAAAGCAGACTGAGGACAGGAGGAAGATCAACACCAGTTAGAAATGGTTGCAGGAGGGCGCTTGGGTGGCTCAAGGGGTTAAAGCCTCTGCCTTCGGCTCGGGTCATGATCTCAGGGTCCTGGGATTGAGCCCCGCATAGGGCAGAGAGCCCCGCATCGGGCTCTCTGCTGGGCAGGGAGCCTGCTTCCCCCTTTCTCTCTGTCTGCCTCTCTGCCTACTTGTGATCTCTGTCTGTCAAATAAATAAAAAATTTAAAAAAAAAAAGTGGCTTCGGGGTGAAGTGGACTCCCTGAATAAACATAGAGAAGGCCAAATCCTTTGGACTTGGGACAGATCAGATATGAAAGTCAAAGGGAGAAGAAAAAGCCAGAGGCCTGGGTAACTTGATAGCGATTGTGCCATTCAGAAAGAAAAGGACAGAGGAGCCGAGGGGACAGAGGGGCTGTCGTTTTTGGGAGGATGGTGGCAGAAAGTACTAAATGCACCTTTGGGTATATTGAGTCTTTGTCTCTGGGACATTCATTGAAGAGGTCCATAGGCGAAAGGATTTATGAGTCTATGGCTCAGGAAAGGGAATAAAAACATAGATGTATGAGTTGTCAGTATGTGGGTGGTATGTGAAGCAACTGGAGGAGTGAGATTTTCTCAAAGAGGGGCTTTAAAGTAAGAAGAGGAAAGAAACCAAGGATGAAATCTTAGGAACACCGTCATTGTCTACAGAGTTAGAAGGAAAACAAGAATATCACAGAAACCAAGGGAAGAAAATCTTACAAGAAGGGGGGGTTATGCAAAATTATAGAACATTCAAGAAATAATAAAGCCTGGAGGGTGCCCATTCCATCTCGCAACAAGGAAGGCACTGCGAATTTTGGTAGGGAGTTTCAGTGGAGTGATGAGAGTAGAAGCTATATTTCAGGGGAATGAAGATGAATGAAAAATAAGGAAGTATGGATATCAGGAGAAGACAACTCAAGAAGCTTGGCTGTGAGGGAGATGTGGGGAGGTGGAAGGATGCCTGGAGGGGGCCTTCGGCTGGGAGAGAGTTTCATATAGGAGAGATCCGAAGCATGTTTAAATGCTGATGGGAAGGAGTCAGGAAAGAAAAGGAGAGGGGTGAGCAGAAGGGGCATAATCTCTGAGGAGGCAGGAAGAAGGGATCCCAAGCATAGTGGAGTAGTCAGACACTGTGCTGGGAAGGAAGGAAGAAAGGTGGTTACGGATACCGGCCAGTGTACTGGGGTGGCAATAAGGAGTAGAGCGTTTTCACTAGGTGGTTCCATTTTTTTCTCTCAAGTTGACAGGGAGATGATCTCTAGAGAACAAGAAGGGAGATCATAGGACAACAAGTTAGAAAAGAATGGTCATCACGGAAATGGGAGAGAAAGCTAATTAAGAACAAAGGATTGCTGGGAGGGTTGAGGGCTGAAGTGTGAGGCTGGAGTCCAGAACACTAACAGCTCTAGTCCAAGGGGTTGGTAATTTTATTCTCCAGTGCTCAGCAGCCCAGATGTCAGAGCCAGGAAGGAGAATGGTTTCACTGACCTCAACAGGTGTCATTTAAGAACAGTGGGCAGGGGAGTCAATATTGGGAACAGTGATAAAAGACGGTTCATGGAGATTCCATATAGGATAGAAAAAGAAATGATGACTGAGGGGAAGTGTGAGGACAGAAGAGAGAATGCCAGGGTTTGATGGAGTTAACAGCTGAAGCAGAAGTGAGAGTGGGAGAGGCAGAAAGCCATGAGGTGATCCGCTGGGGTGGGGGTCTGAACTTATGATTTCAGAGGTGGAGCAGTACTTGGCCGTGATACTCCAAGGGTGTCAGAAGTGGGAATGAGGCCACTGAGGAGGTGGTGCCAGTGAGCTTCTAGGCTTTGGGATGGCTCATCGACTTTGAGCATGGGAGGACTCGAGGTAGAAAAAACTAAGTCAGGGCTAGAGTCTGCAGTGGAAGAGGAGGAGGGTGCCTGAGGTCAAGAAAAACCAGGGTGAGGTTGGGGTAAACACTGATGAGTGCTTGACAAACGTCTGATGAATACACGAATACAGGAATCAGTGAATATGTGAACACATCAACTCAGACCAATCTGGCACATTCTGGGAATATCTAGCCGTAAATCTCGAGATCCCAGAGGAAACACTAGGATTTCAGAGGCCCGGTTAGGAGGAGTGTACGGGTCTCAGGTTATCATAAGTGTTAAAGGTAAGCAGTTCTTTTCAGCCTATCCTAGCTTAAGAGGCTATTTGACTCCTCTAGACCTGCCCAGGTCCAAACAGATAGCTACTAACCCCTTGTAGCTATTGAGCACTTGAATTGTGTCTAGTCTAAATCAAGATGTGCTGTCCACATAAAACACACCGGATTTCAAAGACTTGGTACAAAAAAGAAAAAAAAAACCCATAAAATATCTCATTTTAAAGTATTGATGATGTTGAAATCCCAATTTTGGGGAATCGATGCATTTAAATAAATAAAACATTATGAAACATTATTAAAATGAATAAAACATTATTAAACATTATTAAATAAATAAAACATTATTAAAATGAATTTCACCTGCTTTCCCCCCCCTTTGCATACGAGGCTACTAAAAATTTTAAATTATAGATGTGGTTCACATTGCATTTCTCCCGAGCAGCTTGGCTCTAGGCCTTGGTCAGTAGCTTCTGCAATCCCGAAAGGAAGGATTATGCAGCCTGTGCGAGGCGCATGTTCTACCAGTAAATGAATAAAGGCAGCCATCTTGAACTTCCACACATACCTGGGGCAGGAGTACAATTTGAACCCGCAAAGGCTTACGTTTCTTTTTCTTTTTTTTTTTTTTTTAATATTTTATTTATTTATTTGACAGACAGAGATCACAAGTAGGCAGAGAGGCAGGCAGAGAGAGAGGAGGAAGCAGGCTCCCTGCTGAGCAGAAAGCCCGATGCGGGGCTCGATCCCAGAACCCTAGGATCATGACCTGAGCCGAAAGCAGAGGCTTTAACCCACTGAGCCACCCAGGCGCCCCAAGGCTTACGTTTCTTGTATACAGGAAATTTCGCTGTAAGAGAACACTTCGTATCCCTCAAAGTATTGCAGAACTTTCCCCTGGCCCTACTAGATGGGGTCTGCCTCCTTGCAACGACCCAGTGGTTTATCATTGTCTCCACTGTTATCACAGTTGGGATAAACCGAGGGACTCAACCGGTCTCTTTTCTTGGAGTATTTCTGATATGATGAGGCTGCAGATGGCACAGACTGTACTTTATACTTTTCCTTTGACAGGGAGAGCCTGAGACTGTTCTCCTCCATGCCCAGTCTCCTTGGAATCTGCGGGGAGGGCTTGCTTAACATTACAGTTTGGAAGGCCCTTATTTCTGCCAGGGATTGTAGAAGATGACCCTACATTAGCAGTAGCCAGAGCTGGTTTGGGCTTAAATTAAAAAAAAAAAAATAGCAAACACTAAGAGCTTACCCTAGGTTGGAGGAAACTGAGGCTCCAAGAGGTTCTGTAACCTGAGAGGTTCCACAGGTGTGAAGTAGGCAGAGCCAGATCTAAACTCAGGTGGTCTAACTCCAAACCTTGTGACGCTCACACTCCCTACACTTTTCAACACAGCTGATTATAGCCTGGGAAACAAAGAGAGGACAGTCTCACTTACTTGGCCTCGGGGAAAAGCCTTCCTTTTCTCCAAAAGAGTATGGTGTCGGTTGGCCTGACACATTTTGCTCACACACGCGTTGAACAGCACAGTTGAAGGCAGGTCCTTTCCACAGATGTTCCTACACTGTACACCAGAATAACTCGGTCCATATTAAGGGCTGCATTCCAGACCTGTTAAATCAGAACCCTGGGAGTAGGGCCTAGGAATTTGTATTTTTAAAACATTTCTAAGGGGATAAGGGAACCCTCATTTCACAAAATGATAAACATAGGCTCTAGGTAAGTACCTTGATTTAGGATCTGATTTAGAACTTGGACTTCTGGGTGACTATTGGGACAAAATGTAAGGAAGTTACAAGGAAGGTTTATTTCACTGACCTGAAAAGAGTGGGTCTGGCTTTGGGGGCTCCTTAGGCAGAGCTGACATTTGTGCCCTAGGTTCTACGAGGCTTCCCAACCTTCAGACTGCCCTTGGGGCCCCTGCTTCATCTCAGGCAACGGGTGAGTGCTGTTAGTTGAAGCCAGACTGACTCTCTCCTTCTTCTTCCTTTTATTTAGCCTTTCAGTGTTATGATGTACCCAGCTGGTCCTGGATCTGGTGACTCCCCAGAGGGCTTCCCAGAGCAACCGAGGCTCCAGCCACAAATCGGAAATCACACAGCTCAGACACTAGGTACTGAATTTGGGAGTATTAAACAGTCCTTGCTTCCCACCGTGGCTGGGGTAGACTGAGGGTGAGGCAGGGGGAAGAGAGACTCAAAGAGGTCTCCGGGTAGCACAGAATCCACAGAAGACCTGGACTTCGTTTAGTGACATTTGCTTTGTTTGATCAACAAAGATTTGGTCCCTACTGTGTGCCTGGCACTGTTGTAGGCACTAGAGAGACATCTCAATGAAAACCAACCAACCAACCAGACTCAGCGCCTGCCTTGTGGAGCTTTTTCCCCAGTCTTCCCTGACTCCCTTACCAATGGGACACCCCATTTTTTCCAGATTAGGTTAAAAGAGGGCCCATTTGGAATAGGATGGGAAAGGAGACGAAGCTGTAGAATTAATTTGTAACCTAGAATCTGAGCTGGGGAAGACTGAGCAGAGTCAGGAAAAGAAAACTAATGGGGAAGAACGCGTGCTCTTCTCTGGGACGAGAAGAGAGAGATTATAGAAGTCAGGGCTATGTGAGGCTTTAGGGAAAGTCCAGCGCCTCATTTTACGCGTGAGGGAACTGCGGGACAGAGAGGTTATAGAGTACCCCAAGGGGACCCCTCGTTAGGTGGCAAAAGTGGGAATGAAACTGTGGCCCTGGAATGATACTATGCAGCCTCCAGCGAGGCGCTCAATTTTCACACTGGGCGCCTGGATGGCTTCTGGGAGCTAGGCCCGGCCGTTGCCACCGGGAGCAGGTTCCCCGCCCTCGCGGGCCCACGCGTGGCCCTGCGCTCCCAATAAAGTTTTTGTTGAAGCGCAGCTGTACCACGTGGGCCGGCCCGGGGGCGGGGTCGGGGGCGGGGCCGGGCTCAGAGACCCTGCGGGCGGACTTGAGGAGGGGCGGCGGGCGCGAGCGGGAGCGCGAGCGGGAGCGCGAGCGCGGCGGCTGGCCATGATCGCGTCGTGCCTGTGTTACCTGCTGCTGCCGGCCGCGCGCCTCTTCCGTGCCCTCTCAGGTACCGGCCCCGCGTCCTGGCAGGCGGGTGCCAGGCCCGGGCCCACGTCGGCGGGGTCCCGCGGGGCCCGGGGCGGTGTGCGGCGCGTCGGGCCTCACGACCACCCTTCCCCGGCCAAGGTGTGGGGAGGCGGCCCTCGGTCCCCGGTGCCCGCGCTGGACCCCACGGGGCCACGGGCCTGGCCGACGACCCTCGCGGGCGCCCCTCCTCTCCCCGCGCCTGTGGCCTGGTGGCGTCCGGCCACAGTTAATGCGGGAGGGGGACGGCGAAGGGGCAGGAGCCGTCCTTCCCGGGCCCCGGGGGTGTACAGGTTTCAGGGGTCCGCCGAGTCGCTGCCCTGGGGACTCGGCGAGGGTTGGGAACTCGGGTCCAGGCGAACGCCCGAATTGTCGGGGCCGGGGGGTGGGGGTGGTGGTGTCTGTGGGCCGAACACCCGCACGCACCTGCCCTCCCCCGGGTTACTCCACGCTCACCTTCCCCCCGCGCCTCCGCTCGCTCTCCAGCCGCGTCTTTCGTTGAAACACTGGTGCTCACAACCCAGAGACCTTTTACGCCCCAGCTTTGAAGCAGCCTCCCCTGCCCTTAGAGATGCGGCGGGGTGGAGCCAATGCCCAGCTGGTACTTTAGAGGGGGCAGGGAGCTATTCTTTCACTTTTTCATGATCTGCCTGCGCTGCCATTCCTGGTCTTTGAAATTCCCGAGGCTCTTAGAACGCCATCACTTCCCACAGAACTCCCAAAATGTTTTCTGGCAATTTAGAGGCCGGGACAGACCAAGAGCTACTTTCTTGGAAATAAGCAGTCAACTGCATTCTGTGCTTTTCCTTTCTAGACCTTTACACGTGTGTGTGTGTGTGTGTGTGTGTGTGTGTGTGTGTGTGTAAATCCATTTATCTAGTTATTTGTGTGTCTGCCTCTGGAATGCAAGCTCCAGGAGGGCAGGGCCATGTCTGTTTTGCTCCCTGTATCTCTAGTGCTAGCACACTGCCCAGAATATAGTAGGCACTTGATTCAGGATGAGAAACTCCACGGAAGTAATTGCTTTCAGAGAATTAAAGCATATTCCTTTGTCCATGTTGCTGTCATTTCTGGAGCTCTTCGGTTGTCCCCCACAGTAGTCTCAGTGACATATACTAGTCCACAGTTTTCTAGGCCTGTGGTCAGCCTTTAGAGATCTCAGAGGAGGGACCACTTCCCTCCCTCCCCCATTAAAGTAGTACCACTATTTAAAAACTTTGTGTATTTGTTTTTTACATAAGGGTTTCTTTCTTTCCCTCCCTCCCTTCTTTCCTTCCTATAAAACAATTCTGTTGACAAACCAGCCACCACCACCACCACCACCAAAAATCTGCTAAATTTGAAACCAAGGACCCTTACACATGTCAACCAGAGAGCCTCTGCCATCTGGTATGCAGAGGATGTTTCAAGGGACAGGGAATTAGCAAATCCCTGAGATTAAAGCCAGCAACATAGTTCATGGGTGTAAAGCGGGGTTTCCCAGTCTCAGCACTATCAACATTCGGGCCTAGATAATTTGTTGTGGGGCTGTCCTCTGCACTGTAGGATGTCCCGCAGTATCCTTTTCCACTAACCTCTAGATGCCAGCAGCATCCCTCCAGTTTTGACAACCACTGTTTCCAGATAATACCATATGTCCCCTGAGGGCAAAATCACCCCTTGTTGAAAACCACTGGCTGAGAGGGACATAGACTATAGATCCACGTACACTATAAATAAGATCATATCTTATTTATATATTCAACATTTGAACCATTTTGATACTTTTCTTGCCTTTTGAAAAAATAGAGCTGATAAAATGAGTCTCTGGTGATTGAGGGTGAGCTTGTCACTTGTCCCGTGCTGTAAATAAGTGATTTAGTGAGGGTGGGTGTTTGCTTGCACCAAAACACTGTGCTTGGAGTTTGGGGGGCTCCAAGTTTAGAGTTTTTCCATTTGCTGTCTTGCCTGTTGGCTGTCATTTGTGGCTGCTGTAGCAAAGAGATGACAGCTGTCTCTTACTTACAATATGCACTCGTTGGCACCTTCCGATTTATGGCCTCTGGTGTGTTATGGAATGGGAAGGCTGATAATGAAGTTTGTGAAGATTTATGAATAGAATATATAGCTTTGAGAAAAAGAACAAGGGCCTTTGCTAAGAAATAAATTGTATAGATTTTGAGACACCCTTTTTGTCTACTTCAGGACATTTTCTTTTTTTAAAGATTTTTTTTAAAGATTTTATTTATTTATTTGACAGACAGAGATCACAAGTAGGCAGAGAAGCAGGCAGAGAGAGAGAGGAAGAAGCAGGCTCCCTACTGAGCAGAGATCCCGATGCGGGGCTCCATCCCAGGACCCTGGGATCATGATGTGAGCGGAAGGCAGAGGCTTTAACCCACTGAGCCACCCAGGTGCCCCCAGGACATTTTCTTTTGGAATGTATTCATAGATTAGGGGATTTATAGAACTAGAAAGGTTCTTGGAGATTATGTTGTTCAAACTTTCCAGCCTTTACAGTCAAGAGTGAGTCCGTCTCACCAGGGGCTTTGTCCAAGGTCACATGATTTGTTAGTTTCAGTGCTAGGTCATAACCCACAGTTCTGATTCATGGTCAAGTGCTGGTTCCAATGTAATGTGACCCTTAGAACCAGAGAGTTGATGCTTAATAGGAGTCGTGACCTCTAGACAGAGGGGGGGGTAGTGGTTATATGTGACCATCTCTGTCCTAGATTATGTGGGACAGCCATTCTTTCATTCATGCAGTGAATATATATCAGACCACTACCATACAAATTAGTTCATACTTGTAAAGCACTTAGAATAGCACCTGGCACATAAAGCACTTTATGCTAATGATAATGGTGTTCTGCGCCCTAAAATGGGCAGGCTTGGTGATGGTAGACAATGGGCAAGGTGCATATGATTCTTGTTTGTATGGGACTTTGATTTTAGTTGGGAGAAGAGTATGGTTTGGGGCACGTTTTCATCTTATAACACAGTATTTTGGCTTGCTTCTTAGATGCTTTCTTCACATGTCGAAAAAATGCCCTCCTGGCGAAGAGCTCGTCCACCCAGGTAGAGGGCGACTTTGCCATGGCCCCTCGGGGGCCCGACCAGGAGGAGTGTGAGGGCCTGCTGCAGCAGTGGCGAGAAGAAGGGTCGAGCCAGGTGCTCTCAACTTCGAGTGAGGGTCCCCTTGTAGATAAGGGACTAGCCCAGAGCAGCCTGGCGCTCCTGATGGATAATCCTGGAGAACAGGATGCTGCTTCAGAGGACAAGTGGTCCAGCAGGCAGCTGAGTGACCTGCGGGCAGCAGAGAACCTGGAGGAGCCTTTCCCCGAGGTGCTAGGAGAGGAGCCACTGCCAGAGGTCGAGGGCTCAATGTGGGCAGCTGTCCCCATACAGACCGGCCCCCAATATGCAGACTGTGCTGTCCTCCCAATGGGTGCCCTGGCTGCAGAGCAGTGGGAAGAGGACCCTGCAGTGGTGGCCTGGAGCATAGCACCTGAGCCTTTGCCCCAGGAAGAGGCTCCCATCTGGCCTTTTGATGGCCTGGGGCAGTTGCAGCCTCCCCCAATGGAAATCCCGTATCATGGTGAGTCTGACAACTGGTTGAGTGAGCCTGGGCAACAGCTTGTCTCCAGTGTGAGCAGAGCCTCTGCTAAAGAGAAGATTCTCTGACAGGGAGCTCTGTTGTTGCATTCTGTTTTTGTGAGAATCTTACAGTATCAGATCTAGAGGGGCCTTAGAGATTGTTTCATCCAGCCCCATGGTTTTTTGAAATAGATGATGAAATAGCCATGGTGCAGAGAGGTGGCAAGACATGCCTGAAGTCACACAGCTAAGTAGAGGCAGAACTGAAAGCACACCTTCGTTCTGATTCACCACTCTCTAGCAGTTGTGGTGGGAAGATCTCAGGGCCTCCATACCCTGCCTCAACCAGAATTTTATCTTCTGGTTTTATCTATATATTTGGCTTCCATTAATATTTGAAGAATGAGTTCTGTGGCTCAAATAGGTTTGAAATCCACTTTGCAGCTCCATGCTCTAGGGGAGATGGGGACATGTGGTTTATAGCCCCACAGGCTTTTTTGAATTTAAAGGTTAGGAAACACTCAAAGCTGAGATCACCCTAGTAATGTCTTTAACCTCAGGTGATTGTGAAGCACATTGATCTGTGATTCTCCAGAGACTCATAGACTTACCAAAGTGAGAAATTGTCAGCCTAGAATTATTGACCATGTACCAGGTGCCAGGTATCATGCTAGGGACATTGGTGAACAGGCCAAGATTGTCTCTGGCTTTGTGGAGCTAATTATTTAGTCTGAAAATGTCCTATGAGCGCTGCTCAAATAGCCATAGAGAAGGATGGGTGGTAGGGAAGATGAAAAAAGGAACTTGAGGCACAGTAGCTCTGACTCAGGAGTGGAGACAGTGGGACCTGAGGATAACATACTTGTTGTGGACCTCTTCTTTCCGATCCTTTTGCAGAAATCTTGTGGCGAGAATGGGAGGATTTCTCTGCTCAGCCAGATGCTCAGGGCCTGGAGGCAGGGGATGGCCCTCAGTTCCAGTTCACTCTGATGTCCTATAACATCCTGGCCCAGGACCTGATGCAGCAGAGCTCAGAGCTCTACCTGCATTGCCACCCGGACATCCTCAATTGGAACTATCGCTTTGCGAATCTCATGCAGGAATTCCAGCACTGGGACCCGGATGTGAGTGAAGAGGGGAGGAAGTGCCATCTTGTATTTGCTTTGAACCTGGGCTATTTCCCAGTGCTCTTAGAAAATGAGTTCAACCCCATAGTTTGTTTTTTTTTTTTTATAGGATTGGAGTTTTGCCTAGGGCTGGAGCTTTCCTGCCTGGAGTAAATTGAGTTTTGGGCAGGTGCTGAGAAGACTCTCTGGGTGCACAATTTCCAGCACCATTATGCAGGGAGGGAGACTCGAGGGATTCAAGAAGCAGGAAAATCCAACTCAGGCATCTAATCAACTTAACTCTAGGCCCGTCCTTGGTGGTGGTGGCTGTCTGGGAAGAGTCGGCCATGTGGGAAATTTCAGTGTGACCCTGCCTGAGACAAACAGCAGCTTGGGTGGGAGTCACTTTCCAGCACTCTTGGTACTCTGTAGTGATTGGTTTCCCTGTCAATTTCCCAGATCCTGTGTCTCCAGGAAGTCCAAGAAGATCATTACTGGGAGCAGCTGGAGCCTTCTCTGCGAATGATGGGTAATGCAGCTCCCTGGCTTGTTCACCGGTCTTGCTTCCTCTGGCCCTGTCTGCTCTCTCCGGAAGGCACCAGCTTTTTCTTTTGCCTCAGTAAATCCTCAGTCTCAGCTGTGCACTAGGTCCTCTGTATGGGTGAGAGTAAGAACGAGTTCTGCAGTTTTAAGGCAGTTCTGACATTTAGTGCCATTTAATCCTTGAAGTAACCCACCCTGTGGGGCTGAGTTATTGTTATCCCCATTTTTATAGTGAGGAGACAGAGGTTCTGAAAATGTGTGTGACTTGCTCAAGGTCACCCGCGCTACAAAGTTAGTAGGTTGTGGAGCTAGGACTCTAATTTGTCTGACTCTAGAATCCATGTTTTTTCTATCCATTGATACTGCTTCATACCCTTCTGTCCTCCTTCCCCTTTAGCTACTCCGTCCTCTGGTTATAACTGTAAGGGAACCTCTGCAGAGCCAAGGAGTTGGCAAGGACAGGAACCCCCTTACGGAGCGGCAGGAGCAGTGCCATAAGCACACACACCCCGGCTACCGCCACTGGTTGGAGGGATTCAGGCTTGGAGGTCCCTGACCCATGTTCTTGGCCGGGTGTTCCTTGCAGGTTTTACCTGTTTCTACAAGAGGAGGACCGGGTGTAAGACAGATGGCTGTGCTGTCTGCTACAAGCCCACGAGATTCCGTCTGCTCTGTGCCAGCCCTGTGGAGTACTTCCGGCCTGGCTTGGAGCTCCTCAATCGGGACAACGTGGGCTTAGTGTTGCTGCTGCAGCCACTAGTCCCAGAAGGCCTGGGGCAAGTCTCGGTGGCCCCCCTCTGTGTGGCAAATACCCACGTCTTGTACAACCCACGCCGGGGTGATGTCAAGCTGGCCCAGATGGCCATTCTCTTGGCCGAAGTGGACAAAGTAGCCAGGTTGTCTGATGGTAGCCATTGCCCCATCATCTTGTGCGGGGACCTGAATTCTGTTCCTGACTCACCTCTCTACAACTTCATCAGGGACGGAGAGCTCCAGTACCATGGGATGCCAGCCTGGAAGGTGAAATGGGAGAGGCCACTGGAGGGTGAGGTGGGGGGATGGCAATGGCCAAGGGAGAGATTCTGGTATTGGCCACTTCTGTGGCAGTGACCTCGGCTACACCTTTTCTGGCTCCCTCTGGCTTTTTCCTGTTCTGTTGAATAGTGTGTACGCAAGTCTGGAAGTTAGAAATTCCTGGGTGCCCTTGGCATCTGGGAATTCTTTTAGTTTTTATCATTAATTTTTAGTTCATGAGTATTACAAAAGTGCCTCCTTGCAAGAATTCAGACATTGTAAAATAAGACCAAACCCCCTTTATCACCTACATTCCTTACCTTTCCCTTTAGAGTGAAGTAGTAATTGTTTGAAGTTTGGTGGTGGTGTTCCAGAATTTTCTGTGTGCATTTACAGTGATATCTAAGTTCCTGTGATATTGTAATTATAATTTACACTTATTAGGCACTTACTGGGTTCCCGGTGCTATTTCAAGCACTTTACGTAAATTAGCTCACTCAACTTTCACAATTTCTGTCATCGTTTTCATTTTTTAAGTGAGGAAACTAAGGCGTAGAAAAGTTTGGCGGTTTGCTGGCTCTAGGCCATGCAGGTAGCTAGTGGTGGAATCAGGATCCCAGAGCCTTTCCCCTCCAATACTGTGCTGTGATTGCTTCTGAGAGCTGATATATGACCTACTGTCTGTGTGTTTGTAAACCCATTACTGTATGTTTCATTCTGTAGCTTGTTCATTTTCACTCAATGTATGTATGGATCTATCTCATTCCTTTTAACTGCTGAATGTTGATAGCATACATACCTCATAGTTTTATTCCATTTAGCACTGCTGATGGACATTCAGCTTGTGGTGATTTCTTTATATGTCACTTAATCTCCCTGTTCTTCTGTTTGGCCACTGCTGTCCATCTTATCACTTAACTAGTGGCAAGGCGCAGTGGAGAAAGGACACGAAAATGGCTGTGTTATTGTTGAGCACTCTGGGCTTTTAATACGGTTACTCAAGTGCCAGCAATGTCCTGGTTCCCTTGTGTGCAGAGAAAGGTCTTATCCTGCCGGAAAGCGCTCTAATCAAGGAGCTCAGAGAGTGGGAAAAAGAATTTACTAAGTGCCTACCATGTGATCAGCACCATTAGGCATAATGATTAAGAGCCAGACAGTGCTGAGTTCCAATTCCTGCTCTGCTACCTTGTGCAAGTTACTTAACTTCCTTAAGCCCCATGTGCCTCATCTATACACTAGGGATAAAATGAGGCCCATCTCAGAGGGGGGTTTTGTTGTTACTTGGCAGATCAAATATAAGAATGCATGGTAAAGTATTTTCTGGTTCCTGCTTCAAAGGAAGCAGTCAGCCATCAGTTATTATCAAGATTCTTAATTGTAGGTGATATTATTATCCCATTTTATAGTGGAGGATATTGAACCCTGGGGTTAAGTAACTTGCCCAAAGTTACACAGCTAGAAAGTGACCATTAAATCTTCGGTCTGTTTTACTTGAGACGGCATATTGAAAATGTATGTCCTTCAAGGGCAGATTGATTGGATCTATCACTGCGCTCTCCCCAACACTCAGCTAGTGTCTTGCACATAGCTGGCATTAAAATATTTGTTGCTGTTCGATGACATAAAGGGAATTTGGCTACACAGGGTAGAGATATGCAGATGACTGATGTTACCCAATGTTTCCCTACTACATTCTGTCCGTTCCCAGGCTGCTCATTGGCTTTGACCAAGGATGGTGACGTAGATACGGTAAAGTTCTTGGTGCATTTCCCATTTGGTTTGACACTGCGGTTTCCTCATGATGGACTTAAGATGCTAGACCTTGATCCAGAAGATCCAAAGATCGAGATGAAACTTTTTCCCATTGCAAATTAAAGCCCCTGAAAGTTGATACTCCCTGTGGAGAGATACTCCCTGTGGAGACTCATGTGGATTTTTCTGAGGTGAAATTCAGGGGACCGTATGTTCATACAGTTCTATTCCTTTGACTCACGTACCTTATTCTCTTAGCCCTCCTTTCTGTTTCATGGACATTTCAGTGCTTCTGGTTTTTTAAAAATAAGTTTTAATTAACATCTTATTTTTAACAACTTCCCTGAAACTGACGTGTTTTGCTTATATTATGTATACAGTGTGTGATTGTATGTGTGTGTGTGTGTCTGCATGTCCCAAATCCTGGGCTATTTTCTTTTTCCATCTTGGTATTATCATTCCCACCTGCTCTTTCCTTCTAGGTGTCTGGACAGGAAGACTTCTCCCATCAGCTTTACCAGAGGAAGCTGCAGGCCCCACTCTGGCCCAGCTCCCTGGGCATCACTGACTGCTGTCAGTATTTCTCCTCCTGTCACCCCAAGAGAGCAGGTGAGCCTGTGCAACATTCTTGGTTGGCTGTGCCTCTGTGCCCATTTTGGGAGAAAGCTGGTATTTCAGTGACAAGAGAAAATGTAATTCCCTCAATTCTCTTAGCAAGTTCCTTTGTTTTTCCCACCGTCTTCCTCATGACCTCCCAGTGAGATGGACAACTTTAAATCCTATCTATTGGAAAATCAGCTGGTCTTCGCAGCCAGGCTTCCTCTGTGTCCCTATACTGGAAGCTTCTTGGTATTAAGGCTGCTTCAGCCTGTGGCTTCTCTTCCTTTCTCTCACTGTGTGGCTTTTCCTGGTTTGCAGAGAGACTGATGTATAGCCGAGACTTTCTGCTGCAATTCCGTTTCTGCGACATTGCCTGTCAGCGACCAGTGGGACTGGTTCTTATGGAAGGAGTGACAGATACTAAGCCAGGTAATGGACACTAAGCTTGTTTTCTCAGCCTTCTTTCCTCCTTACCCCTGATATTTGTAAGTTACGTGGTTTCTTAGTCTTTCTGTAGGTATGATTCTTAAGGTCAGCTTCTGGTAATAAGCATGCTTAGAAGGAAGGTCAGTGGAGTTCTGCATCCATATGCAGGCATAGATGTGCAGCATAGTGAGAACACGGACCAGGAATCAGGAGACTTGAGTTCCAATCATGTCTGAGACCTTGAATGAGCCATGTAACCTTTTTAGGCTTAAGTAGCTAGTGACCAATGTGTGTACAACAGATGGGGAGATGCACATGACAGGGTTTAAAAGTCGTAAGGTGACAGTGGTCCTGCTTGTGATAAAAAGTTACTCCTACTGAGAACTCCCAGATCGAACATGACAGAGTATGCTTGACATTTTCTCCTTCTTGTCTCTGAAACTATTCCAGAGCAACAAGGATTGGAAAAAAGCAATGCAAACTCCATCTTTGAGAAAACTAGGAGACTTGAATGTATCTGAAACCGTGGATCACAGCGTAGGTAGAATGGCTGTGGGAAGCACTGGAGGCCGTGCAGGTGTGCTGGGGGAAGTATGGAAGGACGTATCTGGGGGCTGGTGTGGATCTCAACAAAGAGCCAGCGCAGCACATTTCTCCAAAGTGCGGAGTGTACCTTGAGGCACAAAATTATAAAAATTCCTTGTTTCATCAGCAAGAATAGTATGCACAGGTTGTGATAGGAGATTCTCTGAACCTGCTTTGGTCTTAATAGGCACTGGAGAAAAGCCTGATAAGGAATCAAGCCCTATTTGCATTAAGCAGTCTGAGTGGCAGGAGGGGAGATGAGATACTTATAGAGCTGCATATTGCTTTTGGCTGGGGAGAAGTAAAGATTAAAAGGACTCATATACAACCCTGTGTCATCAGGAATATTCCTGTTACTTGGAATGCATACCCAGTTCTTCCCTCAGAGAAGCTGTGCAGATAGCTGGTACAGAAAAATCTCGACTAATTCAAAGCCAGGGTGCTTAAAAGGAACCAGCATGCGAGCTGTGCTAGAATATTGCAAGAAAGAAAGCAGAAGGAACAGGAAAAACAAAAGGCAGATAAAGAATGCTTACCTCAAAGATAAAAATTATTGTCATGCAGCATATGAAAGATGATGATTATTTTCCCATGAATAAAAAAGTGAAGCAATTGCCTTTATAAAATAAGAGTACAAAAATAATTGCCTTTATAAAATAAGTCCAGGCACATTGCAAGACATCAGGAGTTGAAATGGAAGCTGCAGAGCCAGGAAGGAATAAAAAGTTTAAAAATCACATAAAATGAAGACAAAATTGGTACAGCATAAGAAGGAATGGGAATAGAGACTGCTGAAAACAGACCAAGAGACAGAGGCCATGAAAGAAAAAGCAAAATAAAAAGGACGTAAAAGATAACAGGGATTAGAAATGATAGTAGTGGAAGATCAGGAGACTCTTAACATACACAGAGTTGGAGTTCACAGAGAAGAAAACCAATATAATGGCACAAAAGAAATGCGTAAAGGTATGATTCAAGGAAAATTTTTCCCAAAGTTAAAAGATTTGAGTCTTCAAATTGAGAGAAAGTACCATGATTCAGTAGTAAATGACCTAGGAGAATCGACAATAAGATATCTTACTGAAGTTACTAGAAGCCAGAGACAAAAGAATCCTTTGGGCAGTTGAACCAAAAAGATTGGGCTGCTCTTAAGGGTAAAAATAACCAGGTTGGCTTCAGACTTCTTAACATTATCATTCAACTCTAGAAGACAGGAGAACAAGGCTTCAAGGAAGGAAGGTATGATTCAAGATTTCATACTCAACCAAGAGCTCTTCTTGACCAAACTGTGAGAACAATCTAAAATAACCAAGCCATGACTGTATTAGAAGGCCTGGTGATAAGCAATGAATTTATTTTTTCTTGTAGGAATTTAATTTGAATTGGCATTTTGCACAAAGCAAACATTTCAGTGGCTTTATTATTTTTTTTATTGTGAAGTTAAATCTGTTATGTAGCTCTAGCAACAGCGATAATGGTAATGACCCCCATGCGTGAAGGAGCTACCATGCTCCAGGAACTGAGAGAGCTGCTGGTATTAAGTGGACTCAGGCAGGGAAGCAGTGACTTAGCACTTTAGAATTACAAAATCCTAAAGTTAAGACGGTAGTAGGACCCCACATTCCATGTTAAGAAGCATACATTATTAAAAACCAAAACAAAACAGTATTGTACTTGAAACATAAAACAAGCATTTCAATTTAATAACAAAATGAAACCTTTAAAACATATACTGATGATCACTTTATAAGTAGAATCATTGTGTAGGGGGAAAATATCCAATTCACTAGCATTGCAAAATAATTATCAGTATTTTCAAAATTGAGATTAAATTTGGGTAAGCACACCATATGATCCACCATAAGTGTAGTTACCATCTATCACTGTACAAAATTATTACAATATTACACTGTTCCCTACGTTGCACTTTTCATACCTATGATTTACTTACTTTATAACTGGAATTTTGTACCTCTTAATCTCCTTCACCTATTTTGCCTCTCCTTTACCTCCTCCCCTCTGTCAACCACTGGTTTGTTCTCTGTATTTATGAGTCTGTTTCTATTTTGTTCTTTGTTTTGGTTTATAGATTTCACATGCAAATGAAATCATATGGTATTTGTCTTTCTCTAAGTTATTTTACTCATAATGCCCTCTAGGTCCACCTATGTTGTCACAAATGGCAAGATTTCATTCTTTTTTATGGCTGAGTAATATTCCGTGTGTCTCTGTGTGTGTGTGTGTGTGTGTACATACATTCTATGTTCTTCATCCATTCATCAGTTGATGGACACTAGGGCTGCTTCCATATCTGTGCTAGTGTAAATGAGGCTCCAATAAACATTGGAGCTTATATCTTTTTGAAATGGTGTTTTTGTTTCCTTTGGGTAATTATCCAGAAGTGGAGTTACTAGGTCATATGGTATTTCTATTTTTAATTTTTTGAGGACCTTTCATACTGTCTTCCACAGTTATTGGTTTATATTCCCACCATGAATAAAAAGTCTTACGTGTAATAAGGAGATCATAATATGTGATCTCTTATCTAGAAGATGTGTTTAGATGTGTTAACAAATATTTCCAGTCTAATACTAGAGTCATGCAACCCACCACTGCAGAGTGCACAAGGGTTCCCTTTTCTCCACATTGTTTTCAACACTTGTTCTTGTCTTTTTGATACTAGCCATTCTGACTACATTCTGATACGAAGTGATAGCTCATTGTGGCTTTGATTTGTGTTTCCCTGATGATTAGTGATATTGAGCATCTTTCCATGTTCTTGTTGGCCATCTGTATGTCTTCTTTGGAAAAGTGTTTATCTCATGAATGTCTTTTAAAGACTCCAGATGTAAAAATGTGCCCCATTTTTAGACCATGAGTAGAAAGACTTAAGTGCAATAAGACCATATGTGATCTTTCTTTCTAGAAGATGTATTTAGATGTGGTAACAAATAATATTTCCAGTCTAATACTAGAGTCATGCAGCCCACCAGTGCACATCAGAACTTTCCAACTTGACCGTGACACTGATTTAACAGGCCGCATGTGAGGTGCAAAAGGAGCTGCAGTGCTAGGTCGTGATGGCTGACATTGCACTGCACTGGAGAACTCTGCATTGCCCGGGTTGTGCAATAAAAACATCGTGATTCTCACTCTCCCCAACTCCCTTTGTTGGGGAATATTTCGTAAGAAGGGAATCTAAATTTTAAGTCCCCTTCTTATAAATATTTTCAATTACTAATGATTTCTTCTTTCCAGTATGGTCTTAAAGATCCTGAAAGAGGGTTACTGATTTTCTTTCTCATGACCACTTGCCTGTTTCCATCGAACTCTGGACCTTCAGGTCTTTTAACAAATAACCGATGAACCATGTGCCCAATAAAGTACATGATGGAAAAACCGATGGCTAATAGATGATTTTTGTAACCACTATTTACAAACTGACCAGATGGCCACAGACCAAAAGCTGTCTGATCAGTTTTCTAACCAGGAAAGTTCTGGATCGAGCTTCTCCACTGGCCCATGCTGGAATACAATTTATCCTCTTCCCAAGTACTTGCAGAAGAGCTTACTTGTTTGATCGCAGCTCTGGTAGAGGCAGCTATGGCCCATGTGCTCATCTGGCCTGGTGGGGCACGTGTGTGACTGCTAGAACAGTGCTGTTTGTACAGTGCAGCTTGGACAGAACTGCGTGTTGAGGGAAACCAGTTTTAGTATCCTGCTGCTCACTGAGATTTTTCTTGTGTATCATAATGTAAAAGACACAACTCAAAATGAAGATATTAGCATTATAAATATTTAAGCTTCCAGTAACATTACATCAACAATCATCAAGTGAAAGTGCAGGCTTAACAAGGAACAGTATTCAGAAAATAACTAACAGTAAAGGGTTTTAATTCATCTGTCTTAGCCCACAACAGATCAAGTAGAAAAAAAGATCACTAAGAATATGGAAGACTGCAATAACGTGTATATGGTAAATCTGATTGATGCATATCAAACTCTGAATACTGAAAGTGGAGCAAAGACATCTTTTTAAGTATTCATAGGAAATTCTTAAGAATTAGACCACCAAAAAAACCTCAATAAATCTCAAACAGTAGAAGTCATACAGCCTTTCTTTGATTACACATGCAGTAAAAATAGAAATTAGAAACAAAAAAGAAAACATTATCATCTGGTTATCTAGAAAACTTCAAACAACTTTTGAGTCAAAGGTGAAATTTAAGCTAAAATTGCAGAATATCTAGAAAATAATAATAATGAAAGTACCATGTATTTGTGGGATGTAGCTAAAACTGTTCAGCGAAAAGTTTATGGAATTATGTGGAATATTTAGAATCACAGAATTACATGAGTAGATAAGACAAGATAAAAGTAAGTAAGTTACTTACTTTTTTTGGGCCAAGAAACAGCTG